TCCTAGAGGGTGTAGCAGAGCCGGGCTCTGATGGGATGAGTACATCCACCGTATCCACCCAGCACCATGCACATCGTAGAGGGTGCAGCAGAGCCGGGCTCGAAAAGAGTACAACCACCTTATCCACCTATCACACACGGAAAAAAATGTGTTATCTCCTGCAGCTGGGACAGCTGATGTGTTTCCCGGGAGAGCGAAAGCAAATTCATTTTAATCGTAGAACATGAGCATTTCTTTTTACAGCATTTTCGTAAGATATGAGAAACAAGAAGGCTTTGGTTTTGGTAGCTAAATGCCCTTAAGTTCGCATAACTAAACTCCTTTTCTTTTCTTTGAGTTTGCTTGCACAGCAGCTAACCACCTCGAAAAAGATAAATCTCAGCCGAACTAGCTTAAGATTAGCTCCGGGAACTTATAATCTTCGGTCACTACCCTATCCTGGGTTGATTAGGGCAGCTTACGTCTGGCCTAGGCCAGGAATGTCCATTAGCGACAAGGACTATTGCACACGAGTTCCCTCTTGATTGCTCGCGCTCCACCCCAGGAGCGACCTGAGTGGGTGTTGAACCCACGTCCTTCTTCTTTACGCGTCAAATGGTATCACAAATTAATTTCGCATTCGCTCGGACAACTATTGCAGTTGGGCAACTGCAGGGAACGTTTCATCTGTGACAGTCACAGATTAGCTCTCGCAAAGAATTATGAGCTACTGTTCCTAATTTTCTTGTCTGTCCCCCAGGCAGCTAACACGTTTAGCTCGCATCCTTAATGTTTAGGTGGAGCAGCTAATTTATTTTTTCCGTGCGCTACAACAGACCATCCGATGAATGACAGTAACTGCCCCAAAATCACCCAATTTGGGCTTACTAAAAACGGGATGCCCACCACTGCTGCCATACCACCGGATATTTCTCTACCCCTGCCTTCCAATCGAGTATGTGTGTCAAGCGGTTACGATTTCACAACTCAGCTGGTTGTGGTACAGAATGCGGTCTGCTTTTTAGAGACTGTTGACAGTTAGTGCCCCTGACCCTGACAGTTAGTGCCCCACACTCCTATAATTCGGATTATCTCTGGTAGCTCACGCTTAGCTCTCACAGCTGACGCCGACGCCGGCTGACGCCTTGGCTCTTACCGATCAGGCATTTGCTGTCACGCTGCCAGCAAACTACTTTTCTACCATAGCTTACTTATTTTTTTCCGTGCACACATCATGTTCCAGAGCATATAGCTGCGCCACTCTCTGATGGAATGAGTACTTCCACCGTATCCACTACGCCCCAGCAGCACAAATCCTCTCCAGAGCGCGAGGGGTGCGGCCGCGCCTCGGGCGGCAGCGCTGCGCAGACGGGCGCTGCCCCGCCGAACCACACTCCGCCCTGCCCCACCCCGCCCCACTCAGCCACCTTTCGGGACTAAAATAGAATCTACGCCTTCCATTTCAGCAAACCCTTTCAGGTCGACCCGTCCCGCCCAGGCGGCCCGGTCCGGCCGAACAAGGCGGCCCCCGCAGACACTTGCAAATATTTAATGCTTCCGCACAGCCACGCTGGCCGGGCCCGGCCGACCGGCCGACCGGAGGCTGACGCAAAACTTGGAGGGGAGAGAGAGAGAGAGCAGAAGAACAACAAAGTGAAATCCTAGGCAAACATTCTGCGAGAATTGAGGCCTCGGGGGTGCAGGTTCGGCCCTGGGGGGCAGCAGGAGGGTGCTCCTCAGCGCTCACGCACCGGCTGAGGTGAGGTGGCCACCACAACACCACTGGACGCCGCAACCCCATCACACTCACCCCGCAGGACATTCGGGGCGTAAAGAAAAATATACCACGACTTACTTTCAATCTCTCGTGGTGATACAATCAAAACACGCCGTGCGGGACACAAATAGTAACACACACAAAAAAAAAAAAGCAAAATAACGCAGAGTATAATGTGCGACAAGCAGGTATATAAATAGGCGCAAGTAAAGCGGAAGCAGTTATACAACCATACGATCAGTGTCGTTGCCTCCCCTCCAGCTCGCAGCTGCAGAAAGCGTGCCGCCGGCGCGCCGGGCTGCCCCTCGGCACGTCACGGCGTCACGTACAGCGTGGTCATGACCGGCGGGGACACACTGGACAAAGTTTGCAGAACGCAATCAAGCAGAGCAGTACAGCCCCGGCGCCGACCAACTTGGCACGAGAAAGCGTTAACGCCAAGTTAAAGTTTCGGCCCGCTCTGCTGCGAGTGCAAATAAAGCGTGCGTTTTCAAATTCTACTTATTCCAAACGCAAAGGCCAGTTAATATTGTTTTTAATCGAAAAAGAACAATAAGGAAAAGGTAAAACAGGTAAAAGCCAGAGTTTGAACTATCAAAGCAAAATTGTCGAGAAAACGACCACAGTAAAGGCATGGCGAGCATGCTAGAGACAAATGCCTCACCTCGATACTCTCATCCAGCACCATCTCTTCTGTGCTAGCAGACTGCAACAGACAAAACAGACGACGTTAGTCCCCGGCGCGGCAGGTCCCGGGGGCCCGCGAGAGCAGAGAGCGTTGTCGCGAGCCGTAAGAGCGGCGGTTTCCTGACCGGAGGAGGAGAGGAAAGCACGGAATCTTAGAGTCGGAGGCGAACAAAACCAGCTGCTCGGGCGGAGACGCTTAAACACGATGTGTGCGTAAATTGAGGAGAAAAGTCAAGTTACGTGTCGCAAGTGCTTACTAAGAACTATACACTATACACGCCCGTATGGGGTGGTTTAAGCACGGCAGCCGTGCGTGCGACAAGTGAAAGCGGTTCAACAAAGCTGTTCAAATAGTGGACGGCCAGCCGGGTGTTAAATGCGAATTAATTATACAGAGTGCATGGCAGGCATGTGCGGCCCCGGGCGCGTCCGAGATACAACTAGACGCCCGGCTTTAACCAAAGGGGGAGGCAGGCGGACGGAGACGGAGACAGACAGACGGGTAGACAGACAGACCGACAGACAGAGAAAAAGAAAGAAAGAAAGAAAGTGGGAGGACGGCTGAAAAGAGGAGAGAGAGGGTGGGGGATGATGTAGGAGTTCCAAACCACCCTTTTCAATATTCCATGATACAACGGCCGGGCCGAATTTTCGGCTCGATTGGAGGCGAACAAGTCGTTGGGTAAGCGGGCCTCATTGTACACGCACGTGCGCGCACCGCGCTTGCGCAACTAGCCCGGAGCAGCTAGCTATAGCGTATGCACAGAGAGAGAGCAACTTTGGAGGTGAAGCTTTGGCGGAGTGAGGCGGGGGCTCCGCGGGGCGGAGCCAACCACAGGTGAGGCCTGCTGGAGGGAGGTGAAGAGGGGGAAGGGGGTGGACGGCTGAAGAGCATCATCACATCCATCAGTTTCGAGTCAGCTCTGCTCTTCCGCCTAATTAATTACACGCGTGTGTCTCCCACCCTGCACCTGACAAAGCACCCCGCACCCGGCACTGGTAAAACAAGTGTGCGCAATTTGCACAGCAACGTGTGCAATTTATTTTGCACATTACATGTTGTTTAACTATAGTTGCACGCTCGCGTAGTGTGCAAATTTTATACGTTTTGGAAACGTTTAAATTCTGCACACTTGGACACACGATTGACGTTTAATCCAGTTAGACACCACAATGTATCGAAAAATGCACATTTGAACTTAAACATCAATTGATGTGCAAAATTAAACACTTGTTTACCGGTGCCCCCTCCTTTTTCCCCCCCATCTCATCTCCCCCACGCCCCATACTCGAGCTCACTCGGGGCAGAGCGAGTCTGGAGACGGCGGGGGCGGTGGACTCGAACTGAAAGTTCATCAAGGCACCGACGACGGCGACGGCGACGGCGGCGGCGGTGACGGGGGTGCCCCGCCAGCGGCCGCGCCCGAGGCCTGAGTCCGCCAAAGTTAGCTGCTACTACTGCTGCGGCGGCGGCGGCTCCTCCCCTCTCTGCAAATCCAAGCGACTGCGGCCACGCCAGGCAACGCCAGGCCACTTCCACATGCGCCAAGTTGACACACGGAGGAGGGGTTGGGTTCCACGAGCACCAGGAGCAGCAGCAGTAGCAGCAGCAGCAGCAAAGAGAGGGGGGAGGGGGGCGCCAGGGGGTAGCAAGAGTGGGTGGTGACAGTCGGGGGGCTCGCCTGCCGCTCTGACTGCGCACAGCCGTGAGGCACAGCTTCACGGCGGCCCACGTAAAAGGAAAGCCACCCCTGCCGCACCTCCTCCTCCTCCTCCCGCACCCCCTGACCAGTCTTTCAGAAGGGATCAAGTTCCCTCGCGCCACCGTCAAGGAGGAGACGCGGCTCGATGGTGCACCTACAGAATCGAATCGTTAAAATAAAGGGGGGAAACCCGAATCAAATCGTTATGTACTTTTTGAGAAAAGGCATATGTTGTTAACTTTGGTTCATTTTTCGTGTACGTCGTACGTAATTAGCTCATAACATTGCGGTTGTTTGGAGAATTAGTTCCCTATTTACAACATGAACACACGTTCTTGTGAAAATAAACTGATCGAAAACGTACTGTACGATCCAGAACACACTTTTCTGAATCGAGGCAAAATTGTATTTAACCCTAAGTGTTCGACCTTGAATGAAGAGAACTAAGGTTACCTTGGATTTGGGCGAGGTTAATTTCCTTCATTCGATTTTCTGCGTGTCGCGGAGTAAAGAATTGTGGGAATACGAGGCAGTGGTCAGTCGGGGAATGGGTGGTAGCTGAGCGGAAGGGTGGAGGGGAGGGAGGGAGTGAGGTAGTGGGTCGGTGGGGTGAGAGGGTGGGGTGACCCATGGGACCAGGAGGGTGGCGCGGGGGGCAGGAGGACGAGGGGCGCGGAGGTAGGTTCTTATTTGTACATTCCAATTACGCGACAAAAGAATGATGAAATGGCTAGATGTGCCCGGCACAAAGGGACCGACCGACCCCAAACATCTCCGGGGGCCCCA